TGTCTATACCCTAGCAGCAGAGAGCTCAAGCTTTTAGCTTCAGCAGACCTTCAACTAACTGAATGAAAAACTAAAAACCTTCCTGGTTCTGTTTGAGCCCTGACCCTATCCACTCATGATTGCTGTGCCTCCTTTAAAAAAAAAACCTAGGAAGAGCTCAAAAGTTGTTTACTAACTGCATGTCAGAAGGAAACATTCTGGCACCACTGTGGCAACATCACTCAGCAAGAGAAACAGGACAGAAGACATCTCTCTTAAAGGGTTAGTAGGAACTGCCGATGCTCGAGAATCTGTGTTAACAAGGTGTAGAGCTGGATGAACACAGCAGGAAAGCTGACATTTTGGGTCTGGAAACATCAGCTTTCCTGCTCCTCTGATGCTGCTTGGCCTGCTGTGTTCATCCAGCTCTACACCTTGTTATCTCTCTTAAAGGCACAGGTTTTGTGAAAGGGTGGCAAAACTATGTTGGCTCCGTCTGACTGCATTATGGTTTCTCCATATGTCCTTTTATCACCTTCTTAATGGACTCTTGCATTTTTAATCAAAGATTTAAGCCTAAATTTGAGCTTTCTACTTTCCTCCTGTCTTGGATAGTTGCGTTACATTGGCGGCGTTCAAATCGGCAGGCCATACGCACAAAATTGAGGGTAAGTTGAAAAGATTAGAATCCATGGAAACCCAACCCAGTTTGATCTCTCTCTGGCTCAAAGGGAAACAGCACACATTATGAGACCTCATTTTACATCTTATCCAGTGCTATAAAAAATTTGTGCATGTTAATGTTCATCTAAATGATCATGGTTAATGGTAAATGATCATCCGAAAAACCAGAAGAAAACAAATCATGAAGTACAACCGGGGAAAAGAGGAGAGGAAGGAATGATCTTCAGAGATCAATACACTTCTGCTACAAACAACTGGACAATGACACTACTAACCCTCTAAGATAGTTGACTAGTATTTACTTCAGCTATAGAGGACGTCTGACACATGCCAGTGTACCTGCTGCACTCAAGTTTCCCCCTTTAATTGTAACATTTTATTCCCTACTCCCTTATGCTTGTCTGGTTTCCCATTAAATGAATCAATACGATTTACTTCAACCAAACCTTATGGTAGAGTTTCAAATTCTTAGCACTCTTTGGATAATAAGTTTCTTCCAAATTCTTTATTAGATTTGTTGGTAACTATCTTACATTAGTAATTTCTAGTTATGCTATCCATAAAAAGGAAGCCTGCTCTCTACACTCACTGAAAACCTTTCATAATTTTCCAGATCTCTATTAGGTCATCCTTTAGCCTTCTTTTCGCAAGAGAATAAAGATAGGACTGTCGATCTCATGATATTGTAATCTGCATTTCTGGTGTCATCCTTATAAATCTTTTCTGCACCCTCTCCAGTACCTTTATACTATTTTTATAGTATGGTGATGAGAACTGCACACTGTATTCAGTGTGGCTGAACCATAGTTCTATGCAGGTTTGGGATAACTTCACTACTTTTCAATTCTACCTTTCAGAAATCGTACTTTACTGACCTCAGCAATAGCATAACATTTACCGAATAGTGCAATTATTCTCAGTTAGTCCTGAATTAGAGATGTGTAGCCTTATGTAAAGAAAAACTGGAACATACAGACCCGTTTGGACACTTTCTTGCCACGAGGTCAACGTTTAATGTGAAGTATAGATCACCTACTCATTACAAAAAGTGAAAAACATTGGAATGACAGCCACTCAATGAGACTATGGGTCCCTGTACTGGCAGTCACCTAACAACCCTGGACTTCAAAACCTAGGGAGTCAGAAGGAAGATGACCTCCAAAGCTTACAGTAAATGCTGGAAGTTTCCTTTAATTCCAAAGTTCAAGTTGTTAATATAAATTCTTAACAGTGGTCCCAGCAATAATCCATGCAAAACACCACCTCCACCTTCCATCACTTTGAATAACTCTGTCAGGTAAAGACGTCATAGTGCTACTGGGCTGTCCGGCTGCTCTCTCATTAGAGAGAGAAGACTGGTGGTGGCTTCGCCTGAGGATCACTACATTTCAGTCAAGAGGAGATAATAAGGAGGGGAATCCTTCATAGTAACCTCTGCCAGTGCAGGAATTGAACCACACAGTTGGCAAAACAAAACAGCTGTTCAGCCAATGAGCTAACCAACCTACAAATATCTTTAAATAGTTGGCAGGACCACAGGAACTGAACAGCATAATCAGCAACGTAGCGTTCCACAAACATGCATGTGCTGGATAATGGATTACCATCATCACCTTCTAATAGGAAGGATATAATTAAGCTGGAGAGGGTTCAGAAGAGATTTACCAGGACATTGCCAGGCATGGAGGGTTTGAGTTATAAGTAGAGGCTGAACAGGTTGGGACTTCTTTCACTGAAGCACAGGCGATTGAGAGATGACCTCATAGAGGTTTACAAAATCATGAGGGGTATAGATAGGGCAAATGGCACCTATCTTTTCCCGGGATGGGAAATTTCAAGACTAGTGGGCATATTTTTAAGGTGAGGGGCAAAGATTTAAAAAAGACAAGGGACAATTTTTTTTAAAACAGAATGGTTTGTGTGTGAAATGAACTTCTGCAGAAAATGACGGAAGCAGGTACATTACAATGTTTAAAAGACATTTAGACAAGTACAAGAATAAGAAATGTTTGAAGGGATATGGGTCAAACGCAGGCAGGTGGGACTAGCTCAAAGTGATGCCTGAGCAAATACTTCATCCTCCACAGGAATCTGAAAAATATTATTTCAGGAAGGCTGCTACAGCACTCATCTTGTTGACTCAGCAATACAAATACAAGGGGAGGCAAGGGCCTACTGGTATTATCACTACACTATTAATCCAGAGACCCAGGTTCAAATTCTACCATGACAGATGGTGGAATTTGAATTCAATCTTTAAAAATCTGGAATTAATAATCGAATGATAATGATGACACGGTGGTTGACTGTTGGAAAACCCATCTGGTTCACTAATTTCTTTCAGGGGAACAAATCTGCCATCCTTGCCTGATCTGGCCTACATGACTCCAAATCCACAGCAATCTGGTTGACTCTTAACTGCCATCTGGGCAATTAGGGTCAGACAATAAACGTTGGCCTAGGCAGTGATGCCCACATCTCGTGAATAAATAAGAGATCTATCTCTACATCAAAAATCTTTACTGAACCACCAATCAGTTCCACGGATTTCAAGAGTACTTCTGGCATTTGGCACATTTAAACAATGTGCAAACACGTCTGATAACTACAAACATTTTCATGGGTCTGTTCACTTACACATAGGATTTTCCACTCTGTGGTCAATAGTTCATCCTTTGCTTTCAAATTAGAATTGTCCAAAATTAGGTCAATTTTTCTCACTGTTCCCAGTTTACATCAATGGCACACAATACTTATTCAATAGCTATATTATTTGGTTACTAAATCCACAGTGAACATTGAGCACTGCTAATCAATGCAACCCTTAGCCTTCAGTGCAAAAGTTGAACTTTGAAGTCTTAGTCTGTTTCATGAATTGAAATTTGGCTCCATCAAATTTGGCATTCATTGAATCATACAGTTCCATGTTCCTAGTAAATTCAACAAATAGAAATCAATTACTACAAGGTTTTCTTTACCTCTGCCTCTCAATATTTTGGTGTTTCCTCTCTCCAAATTCATAAATTTTGGTGTTTCCTCTCTGCAAATTTGAAGCTGCTTTTTTCCAACTTTTTCCCTCACCAATTCTTGACAACATTTTAATAAAACAGAGATGTTGTTTCTATATCTGGGAAACATTTTCAAGGATTAATTCTTGGTATTGGACAGGACAATAGTTTTCCATCTACTAAACGACCCATCTCTTACCTCCGACTTACACACCTCTGCATCACATATTCTTTTCCTTCCCTACTCAAACTACTCGAACAAATAGTTTCCACCATTCTGCTCTATATTCCACATATTCCACTACACACCACATTGCCAAACCTTGTAGAATGTCTGGGACCAGAATCAAAATTTCCCATTGGCCAAATAATGTAATTTGGGAGCTTTAAAATTATACCTTAAAGCAAACAGGTCATGTAATTCATGAAGAAGCTCTGTCACAGCCTCAAATTCATCAAAACTGTGATCTGACTGCATACGCGGCAGTGTGATGACATTAAATGGAATCCTGAGGAGATGTCTGCTTTCTCCAGCTACATGGTAATGTGAGCCATCTGGATGGCTTTGTGGATGATGGATTTGCAGGACACAGATCCTCTTGGAAAACAATAGAGACACATTTTAATTTCCATGTCACATAATCATTGGTAAAGGATAACATCATGGTCAAAACGGATGGTGAGCATGATTTTAACTTTCAAACTTGGATTATACACACAGCCTCCTACTATCTCATGGTCTGTACCTCTAAGGATATCAAGAAGAGTTATTCTCCAAACGTCAATGCCCTCAGGAGATCTTACCACTAGATACTGCTGTTGATCTGACCTATTGACACAGTTGAAGAGGAAGTTTATCAACAATCTTAAGCTATGCACTATTTCTACAACATTTTTGAACGGAACAGTTAGACATATGATTTAACAAGTGCTATATTCAAGCAATTGAATCAGGAGTGTAGTTGTGTCCAATCTCCAGTTTGTAGGCTAAAAATTGCCCTAAAATCTCAGTAATCTGGCCCTTGAAGCCCCAGTAACTTAATCAGTGTTAATTATTGATGATGCAATTATTTGTTTCTCAAACTTTGTGAATCTATAGTCTTGGAGTTACGGTTCTTCATTCAACTGCCACATTGCAAGATAAATCCTAAATCAGAAGATTTGTGAATGTTTTAACTGGATATACACACACACACAAACTAAAGTGATCATACATTTTTTGTTGTTTCCAAGGAATACCAGAAATCCATTATATTCATTTGTGGTGAGCCCAACGAACAAGTTTGGAAATCCCTAGTGAAAGCAACAAATCAGTACAATAGTTCTTACCTTCAATGTATAAAGACCCATCCGCCCTGGAAGTCTGTAAAACATTCCATCATCTGCACGAGAATTAGTGTGAAGCATAGCATTCAGACATGCCAAGGGAGAAGTTCCACTACATAAAATAGATTGAAAAGCATATTTTACGTAAATACCTCAAATAAAATTCAAATCGGCACATTTTGCTCCAAATGGCTATTTTCACTATAAATGTTTAAAGATGTAAAAGATACCAGTCAGATGAAATAAAAAAATTCATTTTTATAAAGAAAATAACCTAACAATTGGAGACAAACATTGTTTGCAATTGTTAAACCTCTGATTTCCATTAACCCTCATTGTTTTGCTTCACTTGTCAGCCTGAAATGTTGAGATTGAAACATTTCTTAATTAAAAACTGAAAAGAACTGCAGATGCTGTAAATCAGAAACAAAAACAGGAGTTTCTGGAAAGGCTCAGGAGGTCCAGCAGCATCTGTGAAAGAAATCAGAGTAAATATATCAGGTCTGGTGACCCTTCCTCAGAACCTACACGTCTGAAGAAGGGTCATCAGACCCAAAATGTTGACTATGATTTCTCTTCAGAGATGCTACCACACCTCCAGAGCTTTTCCAGAAACTCCTGTTGTTTTTTGAAGCATTCCTTTTTCGTCTCTTCATAAATAGGTTCAGCACAGGACATGAGTATAGCATCTGCAATTATCCCACTATCATTGAGGATGCAAGAAAGATTTAAGATTTGCCCAACACTTTGAATAGCCATACCATTTACTGATGAAATCGCACAAGAGATTTGTTCAAAGCTTTTCTCATTCAGTTCTTCGACATATCAATTTTTTTTGGCACTTAATATTCTTCTCCAGGATGTTTGTTGGACAACTGAGTTTTGATATATCCATCACTGCAACTTTATTCTGGCTCTTATGACATTGCCAGTGATTGAGGATCGATTAAGTCACATTATTTTCATCAGAATACAGTTTCAGATTACACAATGCTAAAATGACCTTAAACATTGATATGACAATAAAATTGCCTACTTTGTTAGTAATAGGCTCATTTTTAACCTTGGATGCAAGTCAGCAACAAGCTGACATTCATTACTAATCTGCCACTCTTTTTTTTCCTAATCCAAGATGAAATAGTCTTATTCTAGTGAACAGAAACGTGCAAATTAGTGCTAGGTCATTTGGCCCCTCAAGACCAATATGCATTTTATCAGTTTATGGTTGAGCTACGGTAGCCTCAAATCCACTTTTTTGCCTATACCTTTTGAATCCCTAACCAATCAAGGATCAAACTCAAGCTTTAAAAATATTCTATGATCCTGCTTCTTTTGTGCTTCAGAGGGCATTCTGAATTCCATAATCTAGTGACTCAGGAAAAACACTTACAACCAAATATGCTGAATAGGTTGGCACTTTTTTCACTGGAGCGCAAGAGGTTGACAGGTGACCTGACAGAAGTTTATAAAATGATGAGACATACTGATATAGAGTTAATGGTAGTTGCCTTTTCCCTGGGAAGGGGGCACATTTTTTAAGGTGAGAGAAGAGATGATTTAAAAAAAAGAGACATGAGAAGCAAATTTTTTTTTTTTTTTTTAAACAGAGGGTGGTTTCCTCAGGAAATGATGGATGTGGGCACAATTACAACATTCAAAAGGCATTTAGGTAAGTACATAAATAGGAAAGGTTTGGAGGGATATGGCCTAGGAGCAGGTAGCTGGGACTAGTTTAGTTTGGGATTATGTTCGGCATGGACTGGTTGGACCGAAGGGTCTGTCATATGCTGTATGACTCTATGACATCATTAGGGTTACCAATGACCAGAAACTGAGTTGGACTAGCTATATAAACACAGTGGCTGAGGTTGTTGACTTGCTTGCTGAGCTGGCTTGTTTTTGTTCAGACGTTTCGCCACCACGCTATGTGACATCATCAGTGGAGCCTCCAATGAAGCGATGTTATTCTACTCTGCTAATTTATACTGTCCGGTCCGTTATGGTAAGTACTGTCGTCATTTCCAGTTTTGATCTGTATGGAGTTTATATCCCCCACCTCCCCTCCACATTCAACGTAAACTGTGGATCCAGTGCATAGACAACACATTTATCATTATTAAATGCAACAAATTAGAAGAGACCCACCACCTCATCAACAGCGTATTCAGAGGGATTAAATTCTCAAGAGAAGAAAACAACAATCGACTTCCGTTTCTGGATATTAAAGTAGAACGATTGACAAATGGAGAGTTCCAAACTTCAGGTTACAGAAAAGCAACCCATACGGATCAAATTCTCAACTTCCACAGCAACCACCCCAACGTCTACAAACAAAGCTGCATTAGGAAACTATTTAAACGGGCCAGGACACAATGAAACACTCCAGAACTGTGCTGGAAAGAGGAAGAACACTTATACAAGATCCTTACTTTAAACGGATATCCCCGCAACTTCATCCACAGATGCCTACAAAACAAACAACAAGAGGACACAGTACGACCTTGCACACTGGCCACACTGCCCTATATCAAGAACATATTGGAACTGACAACAAGACTCCTTAGACCACTAAGAATCATGGTAGCCCACAAGCCCACAGCCACGCAATGACAAACACTCACAAGGATTAAAGACCCCATTCCCACAACATGCAGAACCAACGTGGTTTACAAAATACCACGCAAACATTACATCAGTCAGACAGGAAGGAAACTAGCCATCAGAATATACAAACATCAGCTAGCAACAAAACAGCACGATGAACTGTCCTTAATATCTGTACATTCAGACAATGAAGGCTATAAGTTTAACTGGGACAAAGTAACCATAGTAGCCCAAGCCAAACATAGACACACAAAGGATTTCCTAGAGGCATGGTTCTCTACCCATACTTCAATCAACAAGCAGATAGAGTTGGACCCCATATATGAACCCATACTGATCAAAATCGGAAATGACAGTACTTACCATAACGGACCGGAGAATATAAATTCCAAGCAGAGTAGAATAACATCGCCTCATCGGAGACTCCACTGATGACGGCACCTAGTATGATGACGAAAGACAAGCCAGCTCGGCGTGCAAGTCCACAACCTCTTCCACAACCCAAGCTACAGATCTTTGCCAAAACTTTAAAAATACAGTAACTATAACAGCAAATGAGGGGCTTGGAATCCTGCAGTGAGTAACTCATCTCATAACTCCAAAACGTCTGTCCACCATCTACAAGGCATATGTCAGAAAGTGATGGAATACTCTCCATCCAGGACAAAGCAACCCGCTTAATTGTTTGTGAACCCGGTGTCATTCATTCCCTGCAGCACCGATGCACAGTAACAGCAACGTGTGATATCTACAAGATGCATTGCAATAAACTACAAAGGCTTCTTCGGCAGTACCTCCCTCCCTAACAGAATCATGGCCGTTTCTTGAAGATCTTGTGTTTCAAGATGATCACCGCTCATTCTGCTCAATTCCAATCGACACAGGCCCAACCTTTCTCAACAATCCTTTTATCCCAGGAATAAGTAGACTGAACCTTTTCTGAACTGCTTCTAAAGCAATTTTCTCACTTTTCAAAAGGATACCAAACTTGTACACAGGACATTAGATTGGTCGCAACTATAAAAAGTGTGAAGCTGTATCAAACATTTTTTACTTGTACATTCCATTGCTCTTGCAATAAATGACAAATATTTCATTTGAATTCCTAATTACTTGCATAATAATTTTATGATTAATTTACCTGGATAGCCAGATTCCAGTACACTTCAGAATTCTACAATCACTCACTATTGAAAATAAAATTTGCTTTTCTAATTTTCTTGCCAAAGTGGACTTATTTTATGTCATCTGCTAAATTTTAACATTCAGCTAATCAACGCATAATCCCTTGCAGAGTCCTTATGCCTGCCTCCCAACTTAACCACTGTCATATCCTTTGACTTACAGCGAATGGCAGGATTTAAATTCATAACATCTGAAACTGAACATCACTAATACTAGTGACCATGAAACCATCAGTTTTTCTATAAACCTTCGCTGACATCTTTTAAGGAAGGAAATCTGCCAACCTTGCCTGATGACCTATATTCAACTTCATACACTCAGTAATTTGGTGGACTCATATCCGTCCTCAAATGACCATTTACCAACTACACATTGACTGAAAGTAGTTGAGGCTTCAACACTGATCTCTGCAGCAGTCCATTAGTTAGAGCTTGGCAACTGAAAATCACCCATTTACCACAACTCTCTGCTTCCTGTTAGCTAAACAGCCTTCTATCCATGAGATTCATGTATTTTCTCCGAAACCATAAGGTTCTGTTTTGTGTAGTTACCTTTGATTAATGGGAGATGGTGGCATAATGTCAGTGGACTGGAAATTCATATGCCCAGGCTTGTGTTCTGGCCACAGACTTAAATCCGACCACAGCAAACGGCAGGATTTAAATTCAAAATGTCTGAAACTGAACATTAGCTAGTACCAGTGACCATGAAACCATCAGCATTTTTCTAAAAACTTTCACTGACATCTTTTAAGGAAGGAAATCTGCCAACTTTGCCTGATGACCTACATGCAACTTCAAACTCTCAGTAATTTGGTGGACTCTATCTGTCCTCAAATGGCAATTAAAGATGGGCAACAAATGCTGGCATTCAAAGCAACACAAACATCCCATGAAATATAACATAATAATGTGGTATTTGATCAAATACCTCTTGGGAATTCAAGGGCACCACAAAAACAGATTCCCCTTTATCCAGGTCACTTGCATCATCCTCAAAAGAGCTCTAATAAATTATGATAAAAGATGATTTCCCTTCCACAAAACCATTCGAAGTCTTCCTGAGCGGATCAAGAATTTCTCATTCTCTTCAGACAGATGCTAGCATTTTCCCGATGATAGATGTTAGAATAACTGACGTGTACTTTCCTGTTTTCTGCCTCATTCTTTTCTTGACTAGAGCCATGACATTTGCTATTTTCCAATCTCAGGGGGCAATGTTCATTAAAATCCCATAAACTGAATTATTGATTGGCGTTAAAGGTAGCAAGGAAGACTGTTTAAAATAAAAATCTACCTCACACCAAGTGAAAATCCGAGGCGA